ATGCATTCGAGCAATATACCTAAGACTCTGATAAGATTTGAGTGCTTGCCTCGTGAAGGTCAAGGTTTGTGCCTCGCTAAGATCGTATCTTTTTCTTTTTAATTAAATTTCTGATCTGTGCTGATTAACGTTCATGAAGTGACAGCTTGAGTACTTGCGATAAAAGGAAACAGGAATTAAGATAAAGATTTACTATTACTTCTGTTAGACTCCCCTGTGGAAGATAGGAACCACAGTCTAACCTTACCAGGTGGTGTGGATGTTCTTTCCATTTTTGCTGGATGAAGATTCCCGTTCCACGTCCAACCGGTTTTGAATTCACAGTTTTCCATCTTCAAGGCCGGTTGTCAACCAAGGCGAGAGTCCAGTCAGTCACAATAGCTGATAGGATACTAGTTGTTTCTAAAAATCTGAAACGAATAACGTTTGTCTCGAGTTTTCGATATAAGTCCGCTGGGAGGTAGAGGTTTTCGAGACTAGCTGCTCTGCAATCAACCGTGAGGCGCTCTTGTTGCCGTCTTCCAAACTTTTGCTTTGAATCGCACAAAGCTGTTTGCAATGAGAATAGACTTCCGTACAATGAGAGTAGCGTGTAATCTGTGCTTTACGACTTCATAGAATATTAAATTTAAAAAAAAAAAAATGTAACGTGCGATATTCCATGATAGAAATGAGAGAACTAAAAACAACAGAATTATTTTTTTATCGCTAACTTTATTTTTAAGAATTAAATGTAGCGGAAAAACAGGGCCCAGTTGTTTTACGAACAGAGCGGCGCTATCTAGTATATTTTTTATATAGTTATTAGCCAAATCTTTTAAAAGCAAACAAGAAATTCTCAAGTTTCTAAAACAGCAAAGCGAAAAAACAAAAACAAAAAATAGACTCCATTTTATTGGATCGGTATGACAAACTGATGTTAAACAAATCAATAAGAATTAAAAATTAAAGCGATATCGAGCTCACTAATGTAACTAAAGTTTATGGGATTTATTTGCACGTTACGGCGATATCATCATAGTCATTCACAAAGCTTAGACTGATATGTTTATGAACTTAGGGAGGATAAATTCACTATGACAATAATAACTTACAAGATGAGATTCCTATTGGCTACTTTATGATGGGGGCGCCAAAATTAATATTTGCTAAGCTATCCAATCAGTTGGACTTTAAGAATACACATACTTAATCGCAGAAGGGTAACCTCTCCTCCATATGGGGCCATATATCTGCCATAACTATGTTTACCTTTTTGACTCTCGCGTAAACCTAAGAGGTTCGACTGTCGTGCAAACCGGACCTACGTCTGCCTTGTCCGACTGTCGTGCAAACCGGACCTACGTCTGCCTTGTTCGACCGGACCTATGACTAACTTTTTTCGACTCGGGCAAAACGGTCGTATGTCTACCTTTTTCGATTCGTCCAAACCGAACCTATGTCTACCGTTTTTTTGATTTTTTTTAACTCTCATACAAACGGAACTTATGTTTACCTTTTTAAACTACGTGCAAACTGGACCTATATTTCTACCTTTTTTTTTTTTAAACTCTCGTGTAAACCGGACCTATATTTCTACCCTTTCTTTTACTCTCGTGTAAATTGGACCTGAATATCTTTTTTTTTTTTTTTTTACTCTGGTATAAACTGGACGTATGTCTACCTTTTTCACTCGTACAAATCAAACCTATGCTTACCTGCCTATTTTTTTTAATCAAAATGTCAGAATTCGGCATTAAATAACATGGAAAAATGTTGATATACAGTAACCAAACCAAACCAAATTTACTAAGCTTAGTATGGTACATGGTTGCAAATATAGGGTACCCAGTGATATCATTATAGTATGACTACTTAAAAAAAAGCTAATTAGAGTGATCATCATATCCATTGACTTTGCATGCTTAGTCGCATTCAGGATCGAACTTATTACAATGGTTTTGCAAAACACATTTACTGACTGTTGCCCCATAGTTTAATGTCCACAGGTATTTAGTAAAGTTAATTTGACAAGTGCCAGGCACCCAGTAAGTTAAAAGCTTATTAGAACAGTAATGGTCTGTGAGTTTAACTTGATAACCGGTACCCTACAGCGAGGCTCCCAATGTCTTTTTCCTTTCTGCTCTCTAGACCATATAAAATGCAATCGGATACTTGCGCAAGGGACTCGATTCCTTGCCTGACAAGAACGCGTGAATAGTCTGCTTTCCTCTTTTCCTACTCCTTAGCAGCCTTTAACACCCCCCTTTCTCGCCTTTCTTTTTCTCCTCTCTTTTTCCCCACTCCTTAACAGCCTTTTCACTTTCTTTCCCCCCCACTCTTTAATGGCATTTCTATCTCCTAAAACAATGTAAGTCATTCTCCCTCTCTTTTCTTTAACAGCCAACCTATCATTTGTAATAGCTTTCGAGCGAGCATCCATCTGGAAGGCTGACACTCATTAGGGAAATCAGCGAGAAATACCTGGGGAAGCAGCCAACCTGATAACCCAATACATGGTCCAATGGACTGACCAGGCAAAAGCAGATGGTCAGTTCTTGATTTACAGGCTGCCTGTCAATTTGATTTACTTTCAAGAATTAGCTTCTTTTTTCCTTTCTTTCAAAAAGGTTCCTGGGGCGAAGACAAAGTTAAAATGTCTATCCTTTCCTTAACAAGTTTAACAAAAAAATACAAGAGGACTGTATAAAAATATTGACTGCTGAGTAGCCTTTTGGGAAAACAAAATTAAACTGAACATAATTCCGATCATTCCTCCATCAGTTAGTAAGCACATACATTACAACTTGCCATTGCCTCGGAAAAATAATGGACCATTCTGTTATGACTGCGTGGAAAGCAGGAAGAAAAAGTTATGTCAGAGACACTGTTCGTTTTTAGTGAGTAAAAGAAAGCATCCATAATAGAGGAGGGGAATATAGAGGAGGGGGATATAGAGGAGGGGGATATAGAGGGGGATAACACTTTTCGTATCTTATGTTCCCTTGAGTAAAAGGGAAAGTCAATTTTTAATCCTTTCATTTGTACCCTCTTACACAATGCAAACATACAGAGTATATCTGGAGTTTAAATTAAGTCTTCTTTTTTATTCACTCGTCTCTACCCTTGACTCACTCAGAAATCGCGCAACTGGAAAGAATCCTGCTTGACAAAGGTTCTGCAGGCAACAGACAAATAAAAAAAATAATCTGCCACCAGAGAAAAAAATGACTTTCATATTCCAGTCAATAGGGGTGACATCATTATTAAAAGTCGAAATTTCCAGTTGGCTGAGTGAAGGTTCTGAGCTCACTTCTTACGCTGGACAGTAAATTTTATTTTTCTCTTCAACCACAATATCCATAGAAAGATCCGACGTTTCCTCACTCGGGTGGAATTTGTCGCAAGACGGAAGATTCGCTTATTTTATCTTATGGCATATCAGCCTCTGTGGATTATTTAATGCCGGCAAGATGTTTAAGATAGGTTCGTATGAATAGAATAAGGATTTGTAAGAAATCAGTTTGTAGATCAGGTTTCATTGACGTATTTTTGTCGATAATCAAATGTATTGCTGGTAATATTTTTTAAAAAAATGTATTGGCATTTTTACTATAAATTTCTATGTTTATACTTTCATAGGTTTTTGACCCCAGTTTTGGAGTTAATTACTTGCTCATAGCTGGGACATTAACAGGTGCTAAAAGGTCAGGGTAGACCTGGGAACACCAGCAATTAAGGAGTGGTTCCACGCTCCTCAAAACCTACTGATCATAGGCTTTGCTGTCGAATGTAGTTTATCGTCATACCCAAGACGACAAGACGGAAGAAGCCTATTTAGCATCTTATTAGCCAGATTGTGAGATATGATAAGGATTCCTGTGCGTCTCTTAATATAATTGCAAGTAGAGGGATTCATTTATATTTGAGGATATCAACACCGACAGAAGATTATCATCAGTTTGAATTCGCCATAACTCAGCCTTGCCTAATGATATAATCCACGAAACAAAAACTGTTTTGAAACTGAGCCATTTCATAATTCTAATGAACATTCCTATGTGGTAGAGTGGACTTTTTAATCATTTTACTTCAAGTTACTAGGATGCAAGGAGTTACTGAGTGTTAGAGAATATGAGAAAAACTACTATTAAGGAGAGAGAACAATGAAAGAAGAATTAAGAAGATAGAAGTTAATGATTGACATTGTATTTAAGATTTTGAAAATCAAAGTTGACTGGGAAGCAAGAAGCCAGAAGAGAGTTCCACAAGTGAGAAGTGCGATCGAAGAAACTGTTACCATAGAACTTACGGTTATCTCGCCATTTCAACTGCAAAATGATTAGACCCTGTCCCCAATCTAGTACTGCGCTTAAGTTCATAAAGTCTAGATACCATAGCAGAAAGTTTGGATTTTATCAAGAATCTCTAAATATATAAGAGGAGAACCGGTCCAGATGTGGCAGCAATATTAAAAAACAATGAAGAATGGTAAACTTATTTTAGGTTAGCAAGGTTTTCTCGCAAGATCAATTACGACTGAATATTGAGTTCGATCTTCACTGTGTACTCCACACTTTAGGCTTTGTGCCACATCTGAGTAAAGCTTTAAAAAAAGTCACCGCATCATAATTCTATTGGCTTCTCCGTTAGTTACTTAGTATGTACGTTATGCTCTGCCACTGCCCTTTTGTTCATCCAATACAAAACCCAAGAATCACTCGATAGAGGGATATTGAATAGGGCTGTTTTATGGATGTAAGAACAGTTGACCCTAGACTTGAAGAGGTTAAGATTGTATTGATCGGAGAAGCATCTTCTTGGGAGTTGGTTGTAAAAAGTAACTGTTCTTGGGACGAAGTTGTCCGAATGGAAATTCCTTCATATTAAGGAAATATGAAGAGAATAGGGATGGTCCGCTCATGTGTACATTGCATGGCCAGTCTTAGCTGTAATGATCTGAAATGGTGGAACTAAGAAACGTAGTGCGTCAGAAAAATTTCCATGGAAATTGCGATAGACTAGGTAAGAAGGAAAAAAAGAAAAGGAGGAAAAAAAGAAAAGAAAGAAAAGAAAGAAAAAAGAAGAGGAAAAAAAGAAAATGAAGAAAAGAAGGAAAAAAGAAAAGAAAGAATTACTTGTTTATCACCCTCAGAGCAAAGAATTTGGGTCTTTGCAACCATTTTCAAAAACTATGTTTCATCAACTTGTGTGAGTGACCACACATCCTCCTGTTTGAGAAGGTGAATAAATTGTTTACTTCCATTTTATAATAGTCTGTCTATATTTCTGAGATGAGGTATTATGTACCCTATTTACATTATTTGGACTATTGTCCTCATCTTTGTTGCCATACTTATCACAACGTTTCGTTCGTTGTACGCTCCGGTCTTTTTCAGGTGGTTGGAATGTCGAACTGAACCCTTTATTTTGCTCGCCAGAAATAACCCAGAAATTCATACACAGATGTCTTCAAGGGCACATGAGTGGATAAAGGCGTTAGATCCAGTGAAAGGACTCAAAGAATGTGAGTTCAATACCTGGTTAAGGCGGTGGAGAACTTGGGGAAGGGAATTAAAAGGAGATAACTGACATCCATTAGACATGGCACGTGGAACTAGAACAGTCTACCCCAGTGAGCGAAATAAAGGGTTCAGTTCGATATTTCAACCACCTGAAGAAGGCCGGAGCGTACAGCGACTGAAACGTTGTAATAAATAAAGATTGTGGAAAATTTGGACAGTGGAGGAATATTTCATAATAAGTCGTCCTAAATTAGGTCCGACGTACAAAACGTTAGGAACTTGGAAAATAAGAGTTTTTGGCGCAGCAAATCTAGTTGTTGAACTGTTGGTACTTCAAATGTAATGAAAACTCGACTTACGCGCTCAACACCATTCTGCCAGACTTGCCACTGCTACTTATTATCTATGGGTGAGTCCATTACTATAGAATAGGTACCTAACAATATGGCAACAAAAATGAGGACAATAGTCCGAAAATAGCTATTCACTATTTTGTATACCTTACACAGATCAATGAAAATCCTCTTGACTGAAGAAAAAAAATTAAAATTTTGCCTCTAGCTAAAATAAAGAGGATAAATACAGATAAAAAAAAGAGGATCAACCAGCAGACGAAATTAAATCTTAATTATACAACTGTATTATACTTTTCTCAACATTGTTTATTACTACAGAGTAGTAGATATCAAGTCTAAGGTTTCTTGAATTTCTTAGGGAAAACAATTTCATTAACAATATTAAGATAAAAGAAAAACTAATCTGCATTCATAATGAAAATGCTTAATCTAAGAAAGTTGGGTAACTTAAGATGATATGGAAGAACATTCCATTCCTAGATTATTGACGGCCATTTAATACAAACATTCGACAAAATCGTTGCAGTGTAAAAGCAGCAGCAGCAAATCTCATGTTGTGTCTACGGTACAGATCAAATATAATGTTGCCGCACGTGGGTCAATATGGACCGTTGGGACGCGTTTATTTCCAGCAGGTGTGTCTTTAAACGGACATCTACTTACACCAAATAGCCTGTAACACACGTCTTTAATGGACTCGCCAAATGGTTACTTGGGAATATAAATGGTTCATCGCTAGTGTTTATTTATGAAAGTACCTGGATAAGATTTCGATTACCAATCATCTTCCATTTGTTGTTTTTGTGCATCGGTTATGGAGTCTGAATTTTAATCGATTTTATTTGTTGTTAATGTGTGATATTGTTCCGAATTTAAGATGTTTTTAAAACGTAGTATTTTTCCTATTGATGTTGTTTGATCCTGATGAACTTTTCGACACAAAGTTCTTGGGTCGGCAAATCAGATAAGTCATTTGAAATTTTCTTAATTTATTGAATATTTTGTTATCTTAGTTTGTATTAAACGCTTTTTGGCAGACGTTTTTAGTTTTTTCTTTTGTTTTTAAAATTGAACCGAAACCAGAGTGAAAAAATTTTCTTTCATATATATATATATATATTATATATATATATTTAGAAAAAAAAAAATGGTGAAAGATTTCTTTTCAATTTTGTGTTGTTTGAAAGGTTCATTAGGTGTAAAATGATGTCCATTTTTTTAAATTTGTGTTTTATTTCTGAAAAAATTATTTTATTCTTTTATATATATATATATATATATATATATATATATATATATATATCATCCATGATCCATTTTACTGTTTTTTATTTATCATTAGATCATGAATGTTTTATTCTTTTGTTTGTTTGCCTTTATGTTAATCGAAACCATTTAACTGAATTGTCGTAAATCGGAGAATCTACATAGATTATGCGGTTGGTTGCATAATTTTAAGCGTATTTACTTTAAAATTTCTTTTAACACGGCAGTGAAAAATAACGAAAATTAATTATTTTATCGAAGAGTATTGCATTGGCAGCAGTAATAGTCACTGTTTACAAACTCACACTTTCTCTCTAGAGAGCTCAACCGAAATAATTTTTCAGGATACCAGTTGTAACAGTAAACTTGTTCAAATTGTGTAACAACAAGGGATAATTATCCATTCCACAAAATGTTTAATATCTAAAACCACTAAACTAATTGAATTTCTTTTTTCCAGATAAGACGTTTAGCCATTTGTTGTAAGAATCACTAAAACACCCTTTGAGTTATTCAGCTAGAAAGAGAACAGGTAAAAATCGTTTTGTGTCAGCCACACTATGTCTTCCCAACTGAGCAAAGGTCTTCAGTAATGGTACCAACATTAATACTACGGCTACCATCTTCAAAGTCCATTCATGAACCATCAAGAGAACGGTGAATAAGTATAAAAAAAAGAGGGAACAGTAGAGAGGAAAACTGGATCAGGAAGTCACAACAGCATCATTTCAACTTTGAACAATAAGAATGTATTTAGCTCTAAGTAGAGTTCAATAGTGTTATAAAACCCTCGGAGAATTCCAGTAAGATAGCTTTAATCATTTCTAACATAGAATGGTTCAGAGCTTAATCTAACAATTGAAGAATTTTGATGTTAAACTCGGTATATCTATAAAAGGACAATATGAAAAAAAGACAAAAGGAAAACTTATCTTATTTTGTCCTGTGAGAGACATTTGTTTTCGTAAAGTCCCTCAGAGCAGGGGTGGCCAATTTCGGCATGCGTGACACGCCAAGCAATTTCCAATGGCACGCAGCCGCAAATGACATCACAAAGTCCGAACAAATAACTACTACGACGCAAAGAAGAGATTTAGCTATTTCAATTTTAATATATATTAAGGTATATAGACTCTATATTACTATATAAAATATATTGGAGAACAGGTCTATTGACTTTGACTTGTATAAAAATAGTTACATATGCTGTTGTCACAATGAATGATTTTAAAACCCTAAGACGGCACATAGTCAGAAAAAGTTTGCCCACCCCTGATCTACCATGTATTCAATTGTGAAAGCAGAATAAATATATTTTCATTACTTCAGAACTCCAAAGACAATTAAATTTCAGCATTTAATCATATATAGGGTGTTGATATGCCATTAAACAAATCAAATCAAAAATCAAATCAAATATTTAGCTGTTTCAATTTCAATTACTATATAAAATATATTGGAGAACAGGTATATTGACATTGACTTGTATAAAAATACGTTAGCACACTGAATGATTTTAAAACCCTAAGTCGGCACTTAGCAAAAGGTTGCTGAGCCCTACCTCAGAGGAAGAAACGTGTCTGCTAAGATAAGTTTTCCTTTTGTCTCTCTTCTAATATATTTATGAGAAAAAGGCGACTGAAGTAAATTCAGACAGAAAAATCTGATGTTGGTCCCTGAAGGTGGTTGAACGTCAATGTTGAGAACCTTCCGGAAAGTCCTGCAGCCAAGCCAACCGTAATTGTAATGCCGTGTATTCCTTTGAATCTTCTCGGTACAGCCGAAGGGTCCATGTGGTAATGTGGTCCTGTACTGCCTCCATGGGAGTATCGCCCAGGGCTCCAAATGGAAGAAGTCATGCCAGTTTCAACAATTAAAGAAATTAATTTTTATCAAATACTAATACTGAGAAACTTTCATTCATATATATATATATATATATATATAAATATACATATATATATATATAAGGAGTGAATAATGAATATCTTTGAGGCGACAGACTGTTTTATGCTAAATGCATTGCGTTTAAAGTGAAACAGTCTGTCAATAGTAAGAGATTGAAACTGTTCATTTTTATTTATATTTACATATGCTCTGTTCTGATATTGAACACATTTATCCCATAATATTGCATATTTTTTTCATATATATATATATATATATATATATATATATAATTTAATCGACTCTCCCGTCGAGATTCGACGTATGAGGGTCAAGCAGATCAGTTTCCAGGAAACCGACAGCCCGACACCGGCACATGAGATTTGATTATAGTGGTGAAGGCCTCGTGCAGGACCATCCACACTTTTTAAAGGGACGAATACAGAGACCTGGTGCACCGAATGCCACAAGGTTCCCAAACGACCCTCCGCAGGTTTTGAATTCAGAGTTGTCCTTCTCCTAGACCAGTTGCCATCCAAGGCTATAGAACCCAGTCTGTCCTGCTATTTTACCCATAGCTGGAGGGAACATAAGATTCATACCTTTTCCAAGGGTATTAGCACGCAAGTGAATGTAATGGATTCGACTGAATATATATATATATATATATATATATATATATATATATATATATATATATATATATGTGTGTGTGTTTGTCTTTATGTAAATAAGTTTGTTTTTATGTATTTTACATATTTATTTCATTATTTTACATATTTCTTTTTACAATTTACATGAAGCAACTGGAGGAGTCAACGCCCAATTTCAATATTAAATAAATAACAAGAGAAAACTTTGTTTAAATCTTTTTCCGTAAACTCCCCATTCCTAAAGACCCTATAATAGATACAGAGATTTTATGAAATTTAAATTTTATATTTATGGCAAATTTTAAATACTGAAATTGTGACTGTTTTTGTAATAGACATTGAATATTTCTCGTTATCGAGCATTTATAACTTCAAACAGTTTTTAAATGTTACAAAAGTTCTTTTTCCAAAAAGAAAAATACATATTTAAAAGGAATTTTTTTTCTTATTCTTTTACTGCTGA